CTTCTTTCTTTTTTAATTATCAAAAATTTGATTTTGGAGATACTCTTGATTGTTCAATTTCTAAGTCTGAAGTGTGAACATTCAATCTGTGGCTGTCACATCGCAGAAGAAGGAAGCTAGCCTCGACTAACCCAGGCCCCACGTCGATCGCTAGCTAGTTTAAAGATTCAATCTTCTTATTGTAAATGAACATAGTAATAATCTACAAGTTTGGGAACAATGGATGGCAGAGGCAGATCACTCGTCCTTCTCTGTCTTTCATGTTTGCTGATTCCTGCTTGTTCTACGACTGACACTTTAGAGCAAGGCAAACCACTCAGATATGGGGAGCTGCTGAAGTCATCAAACGATCTCTTCAGGTTAGGATTCTTCCGGTTTTACAAAGCTTCAGATAAATCTTTCTTAGGAATTTGGTATAATGATTACAGCTCCAATTATGAAGTTGACGTAGTTCAGGAACCAGTTTGGATTGCAAACCGGAACAACCCAATCTTCAACGGTTCTGGAATTCTTTCAGTCAACCACAATGGATGCCTGCAGATTTTATCTGGTGAGAAGGAGATCTTTGCCTTATATTCAACTGGAGCTTCAATTCAGGTTCAGGCTCGTGCCACCCTAAAAGACGATGGCAACTTTGTACTGCGGCAACTGAATTCAGATGGATCCGAGGCGGTTTTATGGAAAAGTTTTGATTACCCAACGGACACTCTCTTACCGGGGATGAAACTAGGATTTAACTCGAAAACTGGGTTCAATTGGACTTTGACATCAATGAGAAGTTCCTACTCACCTGCCTCAGGCTCTTTTACACTGGGAGTGGATCCCAACGGCACAAAACAACTGGTCATCTGGCGGCGAGACGATGTATACTGGAGAAGTGGACCTTGGCAAAATGGCAGCTCTGACTTTGCATACTTAACGCCCAGGCAGGAATCCGCTTACAGCTTTAATTTCACTCAAAATGAGAATGAAACGTACTTCACTTTCAGTACAACCCCGGCACTGGTCTTTTTCCCATCGATGCAACTAGAGTCACGGGACTCGTATGCTGTGCTGCAGATTCCTACTGTAGGATACCGGCGCGATTTAGTTTCATGTACTTATCCTTATAGTTCCTCCATTACAGGAGAACCCAATTCGGCAGGATGCGTAAAGCAAAAGCTTCCCGAGTGCAGGGGTACTATGCTTGATCATGAATACATCTACCCGGACTATGGTTCCATGTCCAGCGCAGGATTCAGATTCAGCGATACTGAAAACCTGACTCTTGAAGATTGTAAGGTCAAATGCTTGCTAAACTGTTCGTGTTTTGCCTATGCTACCACAAATGTGGATGGAACTGGCTGTGAAGTTTGGACATCGAGGGCATTTTTCAGAGAAACAAATTCTGGCCGTGCTATATACATCCTTCCTTCCAAAGGTATGTTTGCTTCATTATCAGAGTTAAAAAATTCTTTCTTGATCAATTGCAATAAGATGCTTGTGCTAACCATTGTAGGGAATAAATGGTGGCTATGGCTAACCATTGTAGTTGGAGGAATGATGATCTTACCCACTCTGTTCTCCGTCTGCTACATCATATGGAAAAAATGCACATCAAATGGTTTGTCTCTCTGCAACATATAGGTGTGTTTATTGTTTTCATCATTTTTAAACTCTAAAATGATCCTTTTAATTTGATCAGGAGATGAAAACATTAATCAAAGGACACTAATAAAAGAATTGGAAGGCAGTGATGCGCCTTCCATCTCATTTGGAAAGCCAAAAGGTCATAAGAAAGATAGAAATGAGCTCCATGTCTTCAGCTTCGAAAGCATTGTCTCTTCTACAAACTATTTTTCAAGTGCAAATAAGCTTGGAGAAGGAGGTTTTGGACCAGTTTACAAGGTAATATCTAACAATGAGAAATTATTGTGAATTTTGGTAAGTAATTGCTAAATAGAAAATTTACAGGGTATACTATTTGATGGACGAGAAGTTGCAATTAAAAGACTCTCGAGGAGTTCAGGCCAAGGAGTGGCCGAGTTCAAGAATGAAGCACTGTTAATTGCAAAGCTGCAGCACACGAATCTTGTGAGGCTTCTAGGATTTTGCATTCAAGGTGAAGAAAAGATATTAATCTATGAGTATATGCCAAACAAAAGCTTGGACTCCTTTCTATTCGGTAAACTTTCTCTTTCTTGACAATTTTGTGGCGTTTCATCTGTCACTAGCTGATGAACTTCATGCTCATTAAGCTAAAATTTGACAATCAGATCATGCAAAGAAGAAAGTGTTGAATTGGAAGATACGCCTTAACATCATTGAAGGGATTGCTCAGGGGCTTCTTTATCTCCACAAGTATTCTAGATTGAGAGTGATTCATAGAGACTTAAAAGCCAGTAACATTTTGCTTGACAGTGAGATGAATCCAAAAATATCTGATTTTGGGATGGCTAGAATATTTGGACTAAATGAATCTGAAGTAAACACAAATAGAGTTGTTGGAACATAGTAAGTATAGTTTTGTATTTGTAAAATGTCTATGTTTACCGTACCAAATGTTGACAAAATGGTGGTTTGATAATTTTTGCAGTGGTTATATGTCTCCAGAATACGCATTCCATGGCCTTGTTTCTATCAAAACTGATGTTTTTAGCTTTGGAGTTTTGCTCCTAGAGCTTGTAAGTGGCATGAAGAATACTGGTCGCTATCATTCTGAGCATCCGCTTAACCTTTTAGGATATGTGAGTCTCGTTTTTCCTCTTCACGCTTCTTCTCTCTGCTCTTCATTTTGAATGAATATAGTATCACACCTTAAGATTTGTATGAGCAATACAATCTTGGTTTTCATCAGACATGGCAGCTTTGGAATGAAGATAGAGCTTGGGAGGTAATGGATCCCACTTTAGATGGATTTTGCCCTCGTTGTCAAATATTAAGATGCATCCATATTGGCCTTCTATGTGTACAAGACCAAGCCATTGATAGACCTACTATGTCCGATGTTGTTTCAATGCTTTCAAATGAGACAATGCCACTGCCACAACCAAAACAACCAGCATTTTTCATCACCACCTTAGTTCAGGAACAAGCTGGTGGTCCTGAGATCAAGTCGGAGAACTGTTCCATAAATCAAGTGTCAATTTCTGTAATGGAAGCTAGATGATTGTTTCTGACGTTACAGTGATGCTTATATGATAGTCGCATAAATACCATGCAGGTTGTTATTATGTTAATTTGTACAATCGTGCCTTTAAATTGATGGGGTATATGACTATAAACTGAATAAATGATGAAATTATTCATATTCATGTCAAGAAATCATTATCATTTGCAACATGATGAATCGTTCATTCTTATGCTTTCTGTTATTTAGTATATATACTTTGGTTAATGACATTGCTTCAGAAATATATGATAGAGCTAAACATAGGAAATATAACATTATTGAAGAATGTGTACCGCACTAACAGAAGTTAATTTGTGTCCTGATTTCTGCATCACAGTGTTAGTAAATATTAACTGTCTATATTGCCAAATCAATGTTTTTATTGTAAGGCATTGATTGAGTGTGATAAGTAAGTCGGTCGGCTGAAAGTCCATGTGTAAGTTACTAAGCAATAGGCTGAACCTTATACAATTAAGAGGAAGCAAAAATTGCGGAGCAAAAGACAGGGAAGAAGGAATCAAATTATTGGTCAATGATAAGAAAATCATAACATACACACAAGAAACCATGCACAGGCAACAAAAAATAACTTATGGATCCAACACAAATTTTGAGTTTCACACGGCCATATTTTGGCTCGAGGTTTCTAGTAGATTAAGCATTAAACATTTTTAGCAATATGAACCTGAGTTTACAGAATCATTTGTATCCTCACTTGTTACCATTTGGGTCAACCATATCAAGCTAGTATAGGCGTTATATTGATTATATATATAAACCATTTAGGAAGCAGTGGTGGAGTCAGAAAATGAAGTTAGAAATTAGAGAAAGGAGAGGAATTTGAGATTTTAAATTAAGAATTTTAAGTTCGAATCTTGAGTTGGTGGAGAGAAATTTAGAGAAATGAGATAATTATTTTTTTTTTGTACAATTCATCATCATTAGATTAATATTTTTTTAGAATTTTTTTTATTTTTTTAAGTTTATTTACTTGTATAAATGAAAGGAAAGAAGGGGAGGAAAATGAAAACATACAATTCCTCTTCTGTCCTTCATTTTAAACATATCGTTAAGAATTTTTTTTTAAATTAATATACTTTCTAAAAATTAATTTATATTAAAAAAATAAAACTTCACCTTTTTTTCATTTTTATTAAAAAAAAGACTTCACCTTCAACTTATCAAGGGCTTAATGTCATCAATAATCCTTGAACTTCACAAGGAATCATTATCATCTCTTTATCTAAAAAGTGTTCATGATAATCCATAAAAAAAAAAAAAAAACAACCATCTCGTCCCTCCATTGATTGAAGTTATAACACCATCAATCTTCCTAATAAAAGCACATCTTATCCTCCAGTTTCTACATAATGAACACCTTGATCCTGTAACTTTGAATTCAAGCATATAAAATGCTTAAAAATTAAAATTGAAGCATATAAAATACATCTCATCGTATAGTTAATTCATATAAAATTTACGAATGTATTTTTTGTAGCTGATATAAATTGGGTAGAATTTTTATATATAAACTATATTTAAGAATATAAGAAACTAAGATTATCAATGTGCTTAAACATGAAACAAATTAATTATTAGAAGAAATTATGCGCGATACAAATTTGAAAAAAATTTGAAGACTAAGTAGTTGGTATATGGAAAAGCTCAGCTCAAATCTGAAAAAATATGGAAGTTGCAAAGAGTGGATTTGGAGAGTTGATTGAAAAGCTCCATCAAAAGCATGTGAAAGACAAGAAAGATAAAACAAACAAATGAATCATGGAAATCTTGCTTATATTTTGTTGTTGTGATCATGACTTATTGCTTCAAAACTAATCTTTTAAAATTTTCAAGTTACCTTTTTGTGGCTGTATTAAGTAAACTCAACTCCTAGTGATTATATTTGAATTCTTATAAATCAAGCACATTGGCTTAAAAAAAAAACTATTTTGTATCTTATATAATTTCTTTTAATAGTCACTTTGTTTTATATTTAAGTACATTGATAATTTTAACTTCTTGCACTTTTAAATATAACTAATATATTGAAATTCTAGTCAATTCATATTGGTTATAAAATATATACTTAAATTTTATATGAATTAACCATGTGATGAACGCATTTTATATGTTTCCATTTTAACTTTTTAACCATTTTAACTATATTATTGAATTTGAAGTTACAAAATGTTCATTATGTAGAAGCTAGAGGATAAGATGTGCTATTTTATTATTGAGAAAATAGCAAGGAGACTTCAGAAACCCAACACGTGTTGAGTGTCCGCACCATATTTTCCTGTTTCGACACTATAATCAGTTTTCAGCATGTGGTTAAATCAGAATATGAAATTATAAGATAACAGACAAGAGATGATGGTGTTAAAATTTCCGTCAATGGAAAGATGATGGTTCACTTTTTTTCTCCAATGTTGAGGGATTACCATGAAAGAAAGAGAGCTGAAAATGACTCCTTTTATAAAGTTTAGGAATGTTTGATAACATTAAGTCATTTATCAAGAGTTTAATTAAAATCGAATAGGTATAAATTAGTATCAATTTTTGTTTTTTTTTATATAAATTAAGGATTTATCTAACAAGCAATAAATATATATTTTCATAACTAATTCACATAAAAATTAAAAAAATTGACCTTTATTTTGACACTATATTAATTAAATTAAAGTTAAATTTACACTTTCAATATGAAGTAATTGTAAAAGAATAAACTAACTACACCTTTAACATGTACCTTAAATAACCAACATTTTTAATCACTACTGTAGTTCAAGAAGAAGCTGGTGGTCCTGAGATCAAGTCAGAGAACTGTTCCATAAATCAAGTGTCAATTTCCGTGATGGAAACTAGATGATTGTTTCTTCTGTTACATAGATGCTTATATGACAGTTTCAAAAGTAAGGATTTAGTTTCCAGAATATACAGGTTGTTATTTTGTTTGTTTGTACACTTAAGTCATTAAATTCTATGAAGTAAGAACTATAAACTGAAAAATGATGACATTATTCATATTTATGACAAGATAGCATTAGCAGATCCAACATGATGAATCTGCCTACAAGAAATGGATTAGTTTCTGGATTTTCGACATTCTACTTTTGATGCTTTTGCTTACTTTTGTTATATTGTACTTACTTTGATTAGTGGAATATGAAATTGCTTAGGAAATGTGTGATGCAGCTGAATATATAAAAGATAACATCATTGAAGAATGTATACTTTTAGTTTTCAATTTGTGCTTCTACATGGTCCACGCCATCTTAGAGAAGATTGAACAAGGATTGTTAGCCTTTGCATCAAAGCTATTTTAGAAATTGATCAAATACGCACTAAGAGCAGTTAAATTTGTGTTCTGATTTCTCTACATTACTCTGTTAAGAAATAGGAACTGTAGGTTTATTGCCATAATAAAGCTTTGATTAAGTAGGATCAAGCATGGATTAAGGGGGATTAATTGGGATACGTAAAAGCCAGGTGGTGGTGAGTCCTTGCACAATAGAGAGGGTGCAGAAATTGCAGAG